AGTTAGCCGACCTTAAGACCGGCTAAGACTTGTCAAATTAGCTTCACAAAATCAGTTCGTTTTCCTCTAGTGGGGTATAAGGCAGGAAAAAAATTGATAGCTTTGATTAGCAAATACAAGCTAGCTTCATAGGCTTTTTCGTTTTCCACAGAGCTCAGTTATGTCAGGTCACCGAAACTGTGCAGTGTTTGGTTGTGGGAACAGTGGTGCAAGGTTAAAAAAGTGGATGAGTATCCCTTGCTCAGTTCATGAGTGTAATCAAGGAACAAGCCAATGTGACTGTGCCCCTCCTTTCACTTTGTTTTCCTTTCCAACCCAGTTACACGATAGAGAGAGAAGACAGCAATGGATTAAACTGGTAAACAGAAAGGATGAAAAGGGGCGAAACTGGCAACCTAAAAGTGATTCAAGAATATGCAGTATTCACTTCCCAGAGGGAAGACCCACAATTCAAAATCCTAACCCTACAATAAATTTAGGATATACATCTGTTGCGAACATCAAAAAAGAAAGAAAGAGGCCATTAGTTAGGGAAACAACACCTTTAACTAAAAAGGTATGTCATGAAAAGAGTACTTTGGAGTCTCCTGCATTGTCCTATGATGAGCCATCAGCCCCTCCACATCCTCAAAATTCAGACAAGATTGATATACCAGTACATCACAATAGTGGAACTGGCGACAACTCTAGTCAAACTGATGTTAATACACAGGCTAATAATAATTGTATTTGTAATGATAACACTATGAAATCTGAAAACAACTGCCACAGGAATGACAAGAATGTAAACATAATATCTGCTAAAGAAAATGAAATACATTTCTTAAAAAAGCTGGTGGAAAAAGAAAGGAGGGAAGTTGCATTTTGGAGAAAGAAATTTGTAAACAAGCAGCCACCAGCGTTTAGTGCCAAACTTTTAAATACTGACAAAAAAATTAAGACTTTCCTTGGATTACTAAATAAGGCAGGCAGCCTTTGAAGTCTTATTCAAACTGCTTGAGAAAAAAGCTCCAAATATAAAATACTGGCAAGGTCCAAAAAAGTATTCTTCACAAAATCGCAGGAATTTTTCAAGCACACCAAAAAAGTCCGGACCTAGGAGGTTATTGTCTTTCAAAGAAGAACTTATATTGACACTTATGAAACTTAGACTAGGGTCCTTGAATGCAGACCTAGCTGTTCGCTTTCAAATATCTGAGACAACTGTAAGCAAGGTAATAAACACGTGGGTTCGATTCTAGGCAAAGGAGCTGAAGTGCCTAATCTACAATCCATCGAAAGATGTTGCTTTGCAGCACTTGCCTAAAAAGTTCAACAATGCAAAGTACAGGAGTGTTAGGCACATCATAGATTGTACAGAAATGTTTATTGAAACTCCAAAGGACCCCAAGGTGAAAGCTGCAACATGGTCAGACTACAAACATCATCATACACTCAGTGCCGAAGCCAGACCAAACGGCCAACCGAGGCAGGCGGGAGTTGCTAGGGGGGTTCGGGGCATGCCCCCCCGAGAAATTTTGAACTTTAGTCTCTCGGAAATGCGATTTGCAGCGTTTTCTGGGCCTTTCGGTAACTTTTTTTCGAGTTAATTTAAGTGGAATTTAAAAAGCAATAATCAGAAACAAGCTACATAAACTGGGTGACCGTTAACCTCGCCAATGGTTTTGATCAGTATTTGTTCAAAAAAAATTGGAGTTAACGTACGTAGCCCCTTGAGATCGATGATATGGTAATTTTTTCATGGTATATTGACTGAATTGCTGAATTCTTTGTAATATCATGATGCGTTAAAAATATCCGATGATCGCTTATGTAAAATAAAGATGATCGGCGAAATTCGTCAAAATTTTACCGAGGCGAGTGCCTCGGTTGGCCTCATACTAGCTACGGCGCTGTAACACTGAAAGTGCTGGTCTCCATAATGCCATGTGGCTCATTTAATTTCATTTCAGAGGCTTGGGGTGGTAGAGCATCAGATGTTGCTATTACTCGAAACTCGGGCTTCTATGACATTCTTGAATATGGGGATGAAGTCATGGCAGTCAAAGGGTTCACCATTGCAGAGGATCTTTTAGTAAGGCATTGCCGATCACACATCCCACCAGGAAAAAGGGGCAGTGAACAAATGAGAAAGGAAGATGTTACAAAAACAAAAGAGGTTGCGAATTTAAGAATTTTTGTTGAGCAGGCAATTCGCCGACTTAAACCATTCAAAATATTGAAGCATGAAATGCCCATCTTACTCTTGGATAAATTTGATGATATTGTCACTATCTGTGCAGCATTGTGCAACTTGTACCCAAAGCTTTGCACTTGAGAGGTTCCCAGGTGCATGGCTGTAGATACAGGTTGCTCATGCAACAAATGTGAGTAATGAACAACATCCATTTAATGAATACAACTACAAATCACTAGTGTGACAAGTTCTGTTGCAACATAATTCTTGAAAAAAAATTCTAAGTTGTTAACTAACTTATGCCAATAACTCTCATCAAAATAA